TAGTAATAGTAGTAGTAGTAGTAGTAGTAGTAATAATAATAATAATAATAATAATAATAATGACTTTGAAGAGATCCTGGAGGATATCTAATCAATTTCCCTGTTCTATTCAGTATCTGCAATGCAGGATTCTGTTAAAATTTCTCCAAAAGATTATTGTTCACCCTCTGCTTAATATTTTTAGTGATGAGGAGCCCATCTCACATACACATTCCCATTGTTTCACCACTGGAAACAAAAAGCTATCTCAGCAAGTTGCATCATCTTCACCAACCATTTCTCCATTGTGGGTAGTGCCGAATCTTTCCATCTTTACACATACAATAATCTTGCTGCAGTTATCATGTACAAAAGCAAAGTTCCATGTCTTTTTTCCAACTGTTTGTCTATCCGTCCCAAAAGAAAAACCTCTAGTCTCAATTGTATATTAATCTTTAAACTCCTCTGAGTCAGTATATGTATTTGGATCCAGAATTGTCCCCCAAACATGATAAAATGACCCTTCTTGTTGTTCACATTTCCCACATAAATTTGAAATGCCTTTATACATTCTAGACAATTTCTCTGGCGACATATACCAACGGTACATCATTTTATAAAAATTCTCTTTAAGGTTATAACATAGGGCAAATTTCAATCCTTTCAGCAGCATATTTTCCCATTGTTCCATCTGTATATTATAACCAAAAATTGTAGTCCACTTTATCATACTTGTTCTTCTATTTCAAATTTCAATAAAAGTTTATGCATTTTAGCAGTTACATGTTCATCATTTGAAACCATTTCTATTTCAAATTCAATCTTATAATGTTCAAAACCATAAATTCTTTTGTCTACTTTAAATCTTTCTAATAACTGTAAATAAGAGAACCATTGACAACTCTATCCCTCTGCCACCAGTTCTTCTCTTGATTTTATTTTACATTCCCTTGACAAAATTCTGGTATCTCACGATAAATTCGCCATTTGTGTTTGCCTCTTATTTCTCCCCTATAAAATGCTTCTTGTGCTGAGAGCCACTAAGGTGTTTTCGGGCACAAACTGGGTTTGTATTTATTCTATATTCTCAATATGGCACGTCTAACATGATGGTTTTTAAAATCCACATTAACCTTGACTTTATCGTACCACAAATATCCATGCCACCCAAATCCCAGGTCATGTCCTTCTAACT